GTAGGCAAGTTGACAGTAATGCTGGCAAAATTGTATGTTTGTTTTGGTACGTGTTTTCTCTACGTAGGCCGATTGTCAAACACACTGCAAGTTGTCGCCGAGCTCTTTAAGTTGAGCTACCACGTAGATCACAATGTTCTTTACAATATCGGATGAGCACAGGTCTCACGTTAACTACACGAAGCCCTTGCTGCGGATAGGTTCCACAACATTTTGCATGTAGTGCCGGCACGAGTAACTCGTGTCGACGACGAAAGAAGAAAAGTCACGTCAACCACTGCTATGAATTTTGGCAGTGAAGTCAGATGAGGAGCACAATAATAAGAAGTGAATGAGTTGAGATGTAAACAACACGGTGCGCACGGGTAAGATGGATGGCACACTCGCCCGGACTCTGAGAAAGGTTTTTCAAATGGTGACACAGTGGCTTTCGGCGAGGCATGGCGTATAGAGTACGTACACCTATACACGCATTTCCTTATTGTTGATCGCACGATACGAGCTGAATATGCAGTGAAAGAATGTTCATTACAGATAGCACGATATGAGCTGAATATGCAATGAAAGAACGTTTATTACAGATAAAGTTTATTACACTGTTGACTGCGGCTGTTGTGTGTTTGCAGTTTCTTTTATAACTAAAAGTTGCTAGGCACGAGAGTACTCTCTTTCACCCCTAAGGAAGATCGCCGAACTCTCTTTACAAAAAGCTTCGTATAACTTTTTCGACGTAAGGATGACTGTGTGACACGGATCGCATCTCCATTGTCATAAAGATGAGCGAGTTAAATGGTGTTCATGGGTGCCCATGTGACAAGGGTGTAACACCGTGTTCCAGTCTCGAGATAGGGCGCTACCTTGTACACATTCCCGACCAGAGAATGTGTACGAGATAGCACCCTATACACACTGTTTACATGCACACGTAAACTTTACAGCAGTGGTTCTCAAATGGGGGGTCTGCGAAGCCATTTCTATGATCCGCGAAACCCTCACCTGCATTTTTCTTTAGGCATGACTGTGCCACGTATTTATGAACTGTCCAAAATGAAGTGATGTGGCACATTTGTTTGATGTTTTTGGTAGCAATAAAAGGCTCCTGTTTCACGTTCCAGTTGTGTTCATTTACCTACAGACCCCCCTCCCTCCCCTCCGCTGCAAGGAGTTTCTCATCACTTTCACCAGTCCACAAGGGGTCCCCAACACATGCATGGCTAAGAACCACGGCTTTACAGTATACACAGGTGCATTGTTTGCATTAATCAAGGCATTCTGGATGAAACTGGCTCTACATTACTTTAGCACAAAAAGTCTTTTTTTTTTTTTGCCTGAATAGTTCAGGTAATGGGATCCAATAGTTTTTTTTTTTTCCTAAAGAAGAAACAATTTCTTTCTCAGACCAAGAAAAAAAAATGTGCTTAATGCCACTTTTTATATAGCCAGTACTACTACTAGTGAGAATGCACTATTTTACTTTTACTGATAGGATTTATTAGCAATTAAATTGTTTTAACACTTCCTATTATTTATAAAATAATGGGAATTAGTTTACAGTCACTTCCGTATAGTTACATGGCTTCCTAACCATCGCTGTTTTAGCAAGTGTTTCATCATTGGTTTGGCGAGGTTCATGTGGAAATGCATTTGCTACTATTATTTCTGTGAAAAAGTAAAGATACAAACGTTTGAATTTTTGGCACTCTTATGTGCCTAACTAAATTTTCCAGAACTCTGTATGGGTACCAGTATAATGTAATGAGCACAAGGAAATTACAAAATTACAATAGTAATAATTGTGACGTCCAAGTCTCATTACACAGGAGCAACAGGCTTGTGAAGAGTTGCAAGCAGTACATGGAGACGCCGAGTGCGGGAAAGTTGCAGGTGAACAGCTTGATCTACCAGCATGTCAGGGTTCTGTGCCTATGTGCTGCAGGCTCTAGCGCTTGCTTATAAGCTCTTAGCGTCTGTTCCACAAATGCTGCAACTACTAATATATATATAAAGAGAGAGACAGAATGGTCTTGGTCTATTGACTGCACTGTCAAACATGAGCTGTCACACAGGCGGTTTCGAAGACTATTGGGTCAGTAGTAGAGTCAACGGAGCACCCCAATACCCCTGTCATACAGCCACCACCAAACTCCATTTATCTCGTTCGGCATTTCGTTGAGGAAGATGTGGTTCGTGTCACACGGTCTACATTTCGCTGCGGCATTCAAATGGTTCTTTTGGGGAATGGAGTCCCGGAACGACCATTTGGGCTCGGTGGAGTACTTTCGTTTTCAGATGGTGACTACTACGAAGAAAACCGCGTTAAGTTGTCCTAATAAGCTCAGTTATCAATTTTGACATTATGCTTCAGTTAATTAGAGAATTAAACAGCACTCCATGCAAGTTTTATTTGTATTTCAAAAGTTCACGATTATTTGACACTTGATTGCGCATGCTTTGGAGGCCAAGGCTTCCAGCTCCCCATCGGCATCAGTAAGCGCGCCCATGGCGAGAATGACCTTTTTTTCCTGTCCTGAGCTTCGTCACTCATCCTACAAGCCTAGCGACAGGAACACACACAACTTCACGGCACAAAACTGCAGTAAACAACACAGCACAACTCACGTTTTCATGCTACTACAGCGCATCGATACCCGCTCCTCCGCTCAAAGTGAAGACATCTACGGCGGCCGCCATTATCCCTCCCACTGCATACAGGTTTTGCTCTGGCACGTAAAGGCCCACTTAGCGTGAATGGTTGTAGCCCTGAGGAACTCAACATCCAGGCAAAACATGAAGAAAGCTGGCACGTAAGCTCTACAGCTTGGCAAAGACACTGCAGGCGCTGCAATGGCAGAGGAAGAAGTACAAAAGGTGGCAGCACCTAGAGCAGGGCCGCGCGCATCGAGGCACCCTACATGCTACGCTCGCTCATAAAAACAACAGAGCAGTGTGACCAGCATTGCTTTCAACTTCTCCATGCTTGCAGAAGACAAATCTTGCAATATCATATCGCATACTTGCCACTTTAATTTTACTAGATTATATGCCACACACAAAACAAAACACGCTTACATTGCTTTAAAGGTGACTACATAGGTGAAAAATGGGACGTTTCGACATGCTCTATAGCGCTCTTTCGGCCCCATGCAGCTGCCATCGAAAGCTTGCGCTAAATCGTGTAGCGCTGCCACAACTCCATTCTCGTAAAGCTCCATTAGGGAATTGCATGCTGAACGGTGGAAAATGGGGTTCGGTGGTGGATGTGCGACAGAAGTACAACATTCCTTCGAAACTTTGATGACTATTGAGCTGGAGTAATATTGCTATTGATGGCTTGAACGACAAAAGCAGAAAGAGCACGAATGTGCCCTCTCGCTCACAGTGGGCTCGTACACACGATAAGAAAAAATAAATAATCTAACTAGTATGCTTTAAAAGCAGTATATGTGACTGCACTTAATTTTTTTATGACTTGTCACTTGAAATGCGCGAACTGCACATACTCTCATCAACAGCCGCCCGGCGCGTTGTCTCGCTGTGTATTACTCGCTGCTGTTTCGCCGCTTAACAACTTGAAAGCTAACTATACATTCATAAATAATGAACTTGTCAAAATGATTTATTGGACTAGTTCGTAAGTCATGATGGCGTGAAATACGAGCGTGATACATAGGCAGGCACAGGAAAGGCACAGACAAGCGTATACTACCAACTGAAAGCTTAATTGGAAAGCTGATTATATATACTAAGAGATGAAACATTTAGTAGGCACATACAATAAGACAACACTGCAAACCAAACATAACAAAACTGATAAAATATATGTGGATATTAGCCCCACCTTACCAATGCCCACTTTACCCTACCGCGATTCCTTTACATGTATGGCATCTGCCACTGTCCAAAAATGCAAGCACTTTATTGGACAGAGCTATCGACGGGGTTCGCTCGTACAAATCATCATGTGCTACGTTCGCAGCGACAATGATGGCTTTCCAGTTCAACATGTCAGTAGATGTGGCTGTGATGTTCAGTTTGAGGGCACAGTCCTGGTTAATAAACACAAAGATTATCATTGAAACTGCAAATATAGCGTGCGATAACCGATAACAAAGCACGTGATGAATGTGGCTGCGCCCCGCTATTCTCCGAGAACAAAATACTTTCTAGTCACAAGGATCAGCTGACCAGGGAAGTTATCGAGGCCTTCCATAGCACTAAAAGAAAAGATGATTGCATCAGCCAAGCAGCGGCCAAATGTCATTTTCAGAATATCAACGCCAAATGTTGTAACTTTAACGTCACTGTCACATATAGCACACTATTATGTTGTATATTAACCACGTTTTTCTGCAAAATAAACAAGCTGCGAGTGCAGCGATGTTCTTATCATTTTTTTTGTTCCTTGTCTCCGTGTGCTGCTTTACAGGTAAACAAAATCAATGCCAAATGTTGTAAATTTAACTTCATTTTCATACAGAGTACTCTATCATGTTGTATATTAACCCCATTTTTCTGCAAAATAAACTAGTTGCAAGTGCAGCGGTGTCCTTATCATTCCTTTTGCCCTGTCTCCATGTGCTGCTTCACAGGTAAAGAAGATGTAAGATTCTTCTGAGTTATGAGAATTTTTTCGGAGACTTTTTTTGAAGCACCTAGTACATCAGTCATTTTTTTTTTGTCTCAAAAGTCAGCTGTTAGCAGTAGACATTTATGCACACCTCTTTTGCATCATCTTTTGCAGCATCCACAACATCAAGATATGTGGGCTACTACACTATGAATCTATACAAACAATCGCAGCTCTCCACTCTCCTGCACATATGTAAATCGCCACGTAGTACACGCCTTGTCTATCATCAGCACCTTTATGGACACGAGTGACAAAAATCCAGTTCCAAGGACATAAGAAGCCGTCCCATAACTGGCTTTGAATTACTGAAGTAACTTCTATTGTGCAGAACATTTGAGATTGAAAGCATCGTAGTAGCCGAGTTGAGTACCGTTTGGAAGAGAGATGTTGGCTCCGTCAATGATGGCTTGCGCGAGAGTGAAGTCGTTGGTTTCTGCGGCATAGGCGGCCGCCTTGAGGGCATCCCAGATTTCCTTACGGCCTTCGAAGGCTGGTGCGGTGTCCCAGAACTCGTCCCGCTTACTACGCAGCTGGCCTTCCATGAGCGGCACATCACTTTTCCACCGAGGTTTTTCATGTCGGAGCGGTTGGTTCTTTCCTATAGAAACTACAAGAATTAATGCACTTCTGAGTAAAACTGAACGAGTACTGCGCAGATTAAAAACGCTTATCACCAATAAAGTACTACGCACCTGCGGTGTTCTTAACCGGTGGTGCGTTACTCTGCTACCAACAGCCGAACAACGTGCGCGCCTTTTTCAAGACAATAGCAAATAATACAATCCACGAAAAAAAAACACGAAGGTTTATTCAGGGGGCCGCGCACCTAGTCCAGAAACGCTCCAAGTATCATAGATATTATAAGGGAATGGAGCTGTGGAACTGGGACGCGCTGCATAGGCGCGTTTGTGCGTACAAATGAAAGTGCGCTACGCATCCCCCTCCCCCCCCCTCTCCTAGACAAATGCGAAAACCCAACATTACCGAAGCGCTACTGCTACTCATGATAGTAGAAGCATTGACATTACACAACTCGTTTCAGCGACCCCCACGAAATCGACCTGGTGTCAACTTTAGTTCAATATTTAGGGTTAAACTAAACCACTGGCACTTTCACTTTCGATCACGCTTGGTCACTGAAATCATGAATTGCATTTACAGTGTTTCCACGGTTTTTAGGCGATCCTCTCTTGCCCGGTACACGACAAAGCTCGTAGAGCGATCGGAAAAACAACTTCTCATGTGAATTGCCTCTTTTTGCAACTACCATAACAGAAGAAACGGCAAGGAAGAAACAATGAAGTCCAAGTCCATACCAGTTTGTTGCAAGTTAGTTTCATCAGTGGATTCAATACCGGACGATGGTCTACTGTTTCTGGTGCCAATGCAACCACCCATCGTAATACTTTACGACAACAAACATTGTTACTTCTACCATTTATGGAAGCATAGCTTTCTTTGCAACTGCCATCCCCTCAAACCTGCGCAGCTGACCCAAGGGACAATCGCAGTGCCGCAGTCGAATGTCTCTTACTTTGTCTGACAAATAATACCGTTCTTTTTTAATTATTTGTACAAATATACTAGCCTAAATCAACTTCAAAATATAATAGACTGCTTATAATACAGCAGTGCGTTTTAGAGCATGTATGCTTCTACAATTGGTGCGGCGCAGGTAAAGTGAGCTGGAATAGAATAGTGGGCTCACTCGCCGCCGTCGCCGGCCGGCGCCATGCATTGCGGTGACGCCGCCAATGTCACACAAACGTGATTCGGCGCGCCTCCGCGGCGCAGCGCCACCGCCGCATTAAATGTAACAAGCGTTAGCGCTTAGGCAGATGCTGCCTGCTTGGAGTGGTGGTCTGCTTGGAGTGGTGTGCGAGTTTTGTTACTTTGAGAACTCCTCGCGCTTTGCATCCTCAATCCCCTAAGTTCTTCAGTGAACAGTGATGTAGCCTGACAAGCAGTGACCCTCAAACGAGGTTAAAATGCTTCCGCGGCGGCAAAACCACTGTTTTGCGCCAGGCTGTCGTACAGGTTACGTCCACGTGAAGGGCAGCAAGAAGCCGTTTTTGTTCGGCTTCTTGCTGATGCAGCCCCGAAGAAGCAATGGAAAAGAAATTCGCATCGAGCGGACAAAGCCCTGGACGACACATCTGCCGTGTGTGACTTTCATTTTCAGCCGAAGTATGTGCTACGGGACTACGTGCATATAATTTACGTGACTGGACTGCGTGTGACTATAACCAGTGTGCTAGAAATGCTTTCTTATTTGACAGGGAAAGTAGCATTTAAATACACAATGACATCAAAGACCAGCCAAGACCCATAAGAAAATTTATTTAGTATTATACGTCAGTCATCCGGCAGCAACGACCACCCCACGCCAAAGCAGTTTTTGCTAACCATTACTTGTCTGTCATTCTATGGTCTCGTGAAAACAGTTAGCCAGGGGAATTGTGGCCAAGGCGAGCTAGTTTCATTGCTGGAGATCAATGCTGCTACTGACACACTGCCACAAGACGATTCAGTTGGCAGTGCAAGCACTGTGAATGAGCCTAGTTTTGTGCCAGCACCTATTGACCACAACCAGCATATTGCTAGAAGTGATTCCAGGCTGATCTTTTATGTTGCTGGCTATATGGCGCAAAAGTGTATCATTAAAACAAACTGCGAAGTTTGCATAACACTACTCACGATGCCAGCTCACGGAGATTTTCAGCTCGCTCGTCTAACCACCTTTCGTGACAAAGGTGGACTGTTGTATCCATCTAGCCACCTGTACAGTTTTGTGAGCAAGCTAGAAAACATGTTGACGGAGTGCTTTTTTTTTTTTGCCACAAGTTGCATTCGGACAGCATTTTGGATGTATTGACAATCATGAAAGAAAAGTTTTCCCAAGAAGTTGGGTGCGCACAACATGCCCCTGGCCTCTCAAAAGACGTAATCGACTTTTATATTGTTACGCGGTTTTGTGAAAGGTATTAATTCTGATAGAACCGAGAAGGGGGAAAAAAAGGCAAAGCATCTAACTGCCCCTGAAGAAGAAATATCCAGTAAGCAACTGTGCCCAATATATATGATTAATAAATTTTCATATACTTGTGCCCAGTACTTGGGGAAAGTGGCTTCCTGTTTTTCTTATCTGTGGACTTTTACAGTCTTTGCATAGGAATATAAGTGAAGAAATAGCCAAATTACAGAGCCAAGATAATGGAGATCTGCAGAAAGAATGAGCAGCTGAAAATTTTTAATTGCTGTGAAACGTATAACATTAAGAGCTCGTGGTAAACTCCCGAGTGTGTGCCAAGGTCAGCATCGGTAATAATTTCATACGCTCGTAAAAGGCATGAGTGACGAAGGTATAGGGCCCGAGAAATGCAAAGAATCCAGTTTACAATTGATAGCCGCGCATCGTAAGCTTTGAAAAGCTGCTTATCACATGTAAGAGAATTTAAATGCATCTCATGTTTGCACAGCATCCCTTGCATGCATCGAGTTCTGCATGCAGTTTAATCGCGCGAGTTACGCTGACAGAGTTTATGAAAAAAATATTTCCTACAGCTTTATTCGCATGAGTACTGAAGGTATTCGGTGTGTTTAATTTAACATCAAATAACGAGCTAACAGTATAGCTGCATACACCATGCTACAGTGTTCTAGATGGTTACCTACGCGCACATGTAGGCCACCGGCCTACGCACCTAGCTCCACGCTAGTTTTCTTTCTTTATTTTTATTGTCCTAGCGACATCAGCATCACCGTTTACAGTGCCAATTTGCGTGCATTTTTGTCCAGTGCATGGAATAACAGCGCACAAAAAGCATGATTTCAGTTGCGCACTAACGCCTCCATCAGGCAGTGCCCTAAATTGAAGTCGCTGGTGGCGCCACCACACGTGTGACATACCCGGCGTCAAGCAGGGGACCTCAGCAAGCCCACTACCCTATTCTAGCTCACTTTAGCGCAGGGGAAGCCAACGTTACTAGATTCTTTCAGTTGTCAAACTCCGCCGCGGCGCGTGACGCTTTTCCATTGAGCGCCGCGTGGGGGCGCGCGCGACACGATTGGCCCGGTTCGGTGAGAGGTGCAACCGCGAAGGAACCGGCCTGCGAGCGCAGAAGGCGACCGCATCGTTCTGCTCGAGTTGTTGTGCGCGTTTGCTTTTGTTTCCCGTGTATAGACGTAAAATTTCGATGACTGCTGTGACTGTGTAGTGAGAAGCAATGCCCCGTTGCTTTGTGACCGGCTGCACAAGCGGCTACGACTCTGCGAAGAGCGCAGCTGAGAAGAGACACTTTTTCAAACCACCCAACGAAACTTCGAGGCTTCAAGAATGGCAACACGCGATCCCAAGGAGCGACAGGGAGCTCACGAGCTCTTGTGTTGTGTGCGACCTTCACTTTCAGGAAGCAGACCTTGTGAAAAACTTCGTGCACAACATCCGCGGTGACGTCGTCGTCATACCGCGAGACAAGTGGAGCCTCAAAGATGATGCCGTACCCCGCTTGTTTCCCAACTGTCCGAAATATCTTTCGAAGCCTTTGCGGAAACGCAAAGCTCCTGCCGTGAGGTCACCCCTCCAACCGAAGCGTCGGAATGTTCAGGACGACGCCGAACAAGAAAACACAGCGCCGAACACCTTCGACTATGGGGAGAGAGACGGCTCTGTGTCAGGCAGCGTCACACTCGATAGTACCCAGTCCTTGTTCGAGGAGCTATCGACAATGGCGCAAGAGGGACGGCGGCTGCAAGGCTGGTCGACTGAACTCGTTGATTCTGTTGTCGTGCTCTACAAACTTGAAGTAGAAAACTCAGTTCCCCGAGTCGGCAAGGCAGCGACGTTGTCAAGCGACCTTTGTCTCTCAGTCAGTGCGAATGGGCGGCTTGTACCGTCAACTGTGTACACAGGATGCTCGCACCTGGAGGTGAAGTCATTGAATGACCTAACACGCTTGCTGAGCTATGTGGAAAAGCTAAAGCCATGTCAGGGCTTTCCTGCCAAGCTTTACCCACAAATATCATCTTCGTCGGTAGCAAGTAAAGAGGGTGAGACTTGGCGACGGAAAACATGCACCACGCTGAGCTTGGATGCCACCTGCACAGAATGCAAAACGTTGGGTAGACTGTTTTTGATGCGCACGAAGAACTCCCAAGTGTGCAAACCCAGACCCAAGAGTAAGTGCATGAAAACGCTGCGCCGTAAAGTGATCCGAGCAACGCTCAAGAGAGAGAGGCTGAGCAAAGAGCTGGCTTCTATGAAAAAGCAACTTTGTAACGTGACTGAAGCTAAAATTGAAAGTGTGCTTCATGTTCTTCCTGCAAAGCAGCAACTTGCTTTTAAAACGGCGGTAATGGCAGCAAAGGCAAAAATGAAAAACGGAAGGCGTTATGACGACGAATGGCTGATGACATGCCTGTTGTTGCAAATTTCCAGCCCAAAAGCTTACACCTTGATATCAGACATGCAACTGTTGCCCCTTCCCACTAAAGCCCGCTTGCGTCAAATAATCAGTGGCATCCCATGCAAGTACGGGTACAATGAAGTTGCGCTAAGTACAATTAAGGCGCACTTCCAGGGCAAGAGTCACATCAGAAGGTGCGGCGTTCTACTGCTGGACGAGATCAAACTAAAGCAGTCGGTTGCATTTAACAAGGCGTCGTGCAAAATGGACGGCTTCGTCGACTATGGCGACGTAACATCCACAGCGACGGATAAGCTTGCTGATCATGGCCTAGTCCTCATGTTTGTGCCGCTGTTTGAGGACTGGGTGCAGCCCATAGCAAGCTTCGCCACAAAGGGAGCAGCCCCTGGGAAGGTACTTTCGGAACTCGTGCTGAGCGCTGTGCTTGAACTGCACAAAAGCAACGCCTCTGTGCTTGCCATAATAAGTGATGGAGCCGGGAACAACCGCTCAATGTGGACCCAGCTCGGTATATCGGGCAAGCTGGACTCGTCGTGCCATCACATCGAACACCCTTGGGAGCCTTCACAGAGGATTTATTTCATTTGTGATGTGCCGCACATAATCAAGTGCATCAGAAATCATCTGAAGAAACATACCTATGGATTTGTAAGAAAAAAAGTGCAAATGTTCAGAGTTAGATTTTAATCGTTCTTTTTCTTACTTCCAGGCACGTGACCATAAGATCAACTTTGGTCACTATGTTACACTGTTCGACACAGAAAAGGACAAACACCTACGAGTCGTACCAAAACTGACGCGAGCCCATGTTGCACCTGATAACCTTCAGAAGATGAGTGTCAGGCTTGCCACCCAGGTATTTTGACTGCTATAGTCTGTGTGTTACTCGTTGCACGTTGTTTGTTTTCGTGTACCTTCACACCGAATGCACTTCTTTAACAGCTGTTCAGCCGTAGCACAGCAGTTGGCCTCAAGCTGTACAGAGAAGCCAAGGTGCCAGGCATGGAAGACTCCGAAGGCACAGAAACATTCACCAGGATGGTGAATGATCTTTTTGATGCCTTAAACATCAAGCTACCATCGAGAGGAGTGAGGCGCCACTCGAAAGAAATACAGGTGACTGCTAGACCCCTTTTCATTTCGATTTAGCCTTGTATGTTCTTGAGCACTCACTTTGTTCAGCATGTTAACATCATGACACTAATATTTTCAGATCCTGAAAGACTTCCTGGAAATGCTCAACACGACGGAGCGAAATGCAGTCAAAGAGAATCTGAAGCTTTTTGCGTCACAGCAAACAACAGAGTCTTTACGAGTGACTTTGCTGTCCACCATAGACGTCATTGCATTTTTGCTGGCTCAAGGTGCTAACTATGTCCTTACAGCAAAGTTAAATCAGGACCCTTTGGAGGTAAGCATGCTGTTCTTGTTTTTGCTTGGTGCATTTTGTTAGCACATTTCAGTGCAGTTCAAAGGCATGTCTTTTTCAGCGACACTTCGGACTGGCACGGTCATTTGGAGGTGACGAATCTCATCCAACGGTTGTCAACTTCAGTCAGATATTCCGCCTCCTCAGCCTCTACACACCGATAAAGACAGCTTTGCGTGGCAGTGTGCAAGGCACACCCTGTTCTGTGTTCGTTAGTGTGACTGACACACTTAAGATAACGAAGGACGCCCACCAAGAAGAGAAAGTCCGCCTGCATGACATAGTGGAAGCCAAAATGATGGAAATTACAACTGCTTCTGCTGACACATCTGAGCAAGGGCCAAGCGACCACGCCTATTTCAAGGGTGAGGTGGAGGACAGTGTTGTGTACTACCTGTGTGGCTATGTCATACACAAGTTCACCAAGCATGCAACATGCCATCTCTGCATAGAGGACATCAGCTCCGCCACACCTGTGCTTGCTTCTGACAGCTACCTAACCGACTACAGGAGCTTCAAGCAAGGCAGCTTAAAGCATCCAACACAGAAGATGTTGACGTTTTTTAAAATAGTCAGCAAAGTAGTTTCAGCTTGTCTGGACAAGGAGGATCTCTGCGGGGCAGGGGCGGTGCCAGGGGGGGGGGGGGGGGGGGGTGCAAGGGTGGGCTGGAGCCCCTCCAAAATTCTCGCCTGCCCCCCCTATGCCCACCCAAGTGCCCGGAAGCATATATTGAAAACCTAGTAGGAGCAGAGCTTGCTTGCCCCTCCCGCAGGAACTCACTTTTCGTGGTTGCCCCCCCAGTAAAAACATCCTGGCGCCGCCCCTGCTGCGGGGACATATTTTGGAAAGTGTTGGAAGAGTTGGAGAAGCACCACCTTTCTCGACTCAGCTGTGACCAGCACAATTCAGCATTCACGTGCCAACTGCTGAACTTTTTTATCATCACCCGCATGCATTTCTTCTCGCGGGATGTGAACCACCGCCTCGGAAGCAGCCAAAAAGTGGCAATAGCGAACAAAAAGGTCCGCCTGCTGTGAGCAATCACGCAGCAGCCAAATAAGGTTCTTTGAGTGTGTGTACGTTTGTGTTTTAAGTGTGTGCTGGCGCGTTACTTTGGCTCTTTGGATATGTGAAGCACTCCTGCTTGTGCGTAAAATAAATGTTTGTCAGGGCGTGCATACATTTCGTCGGCGTCCGCTGCTGAGCTAGGAGCCGGGCTGCTGCAAAGGTGAGTACGAGCGCTTTGAGTTGACGTTTTTCTCTTGTTCTCGCCGGTAGTTCGCGCTTTCAAGAAGCAACTTGTTATACCAACTGCCACAAGCAACCACGCGTGCGAGTGGGCGTGATAGTGTGCGAAAATAATCTAGCTGTTACGAACCAACGTGCTGACGCACGTTCGCGATACGCGGTGCTTTCTTTATCGAAAGTTCGCGAGCAATACAAGCCGCCCAGTCTGCGTTTTCCGGTTTTCTGTATAATAGCAGGCAACTTGCCTCAAATAGAAGGAAAATGTTAGCCGAAAAAGCATGCAGAACCTATGAACAGCACCCGCTACTGCGCTGAACTGCAGAGGAAAGTTGCCTGTTCAGCTGCGCGCCGACGCGCTCGATCGGGCCGACCGTGGCGCGAGCGCCCCTGGCGGCAGTAAACAGAGAGGGGTCAAGTTTGTGCGGGGGTCCAGGCGGAGTTTGACAACTAAAAAAGTATCTAGTAACGTTGGGGGAAGCACGTTTGAAGCGTTCAAAGCGGGCTCGTGTAGCGTGTGCTGAGATGGACGAATCTGTATTTCAAGACAGAGATAAGTTTGACGAGGCAGTCGCCAATTATGCCAACGGTATAGTGTTAAAAAATTTGACAATAGAACTAGACCAATTTCTTCCTGATGAGGTGTCGGCAGTTATGGTCACTGAAGTTGATCAGCTGATCACTTTGTTCTGATTTTTCCTGCGTTCTGTACTGCTTTGCGTGAGAATATATAAATGTTGCCATAATATATTACGGTGTGGATGAAGCGGTTTGTTTCATAATTCAATTGTTCATTACAGCGATCAAAGGAAACCGAGACGAATTTCTTCGCATGCTAGAAAATATGGGGTAAGAGTCAACTGCTGATGAACAGTAAGTTCCCGAACTGCAAGTGCTGTTTACCCGCAGGCATGTTTTGACACACCATGACTTCCAACGAAGGGCCGATGGTGTGAGATTTTTGACAACAGTGATCTCTTTACTTCCGCAGAGGTTCATGAATACATATGAGAGTAAGTTACAATTCATTGGTTTTCGAAATTGTGTGTTGCTCATTTGTGTTTTGTTGTGAAACGCAGCGGCATTTGCTGTCCAATTCTTTCTGAGGAAGCTCGACGACGACAACGTTGTAGTTATGCAGGCTGCCTTGCGAGGTCTTCACGAGCTGATGGTGAGTATACAAGAGTGACAGCTTGACCTTTATGCGAGAGTTGCGCATTGTTTCGTGCATTAGCATTCCATCTTCCTCCTTCTGAGGCGGATGCCACGCACGCGCTAACTCGCGGTGCCGTAGTCTGCAGTGACGCCTTATATGAAACGCAGCACTGAAGGTGAAGCATGTTTGCTTTGTAACTGGCACGTTTGTTGTTGCGTTACCGCCAGCGCGAGGAGGAGACGCGCAGGAGAAAGGAACCTATTGTACAAGCGTTCGAGCTTGTATTATGGGTTCAAACGATAAAAAAAAAAAAAATGACGAAGGCTTCACTAGCCGTGCAAGGTTTGAAACAGGTCGATTCTTAAGACTGATCTGCAATTGTTTCTAGGTTGTTTCAAGGCCTTTGACGCAGGCTGTTTCTACATCATTGCTAGGCGGGTGCGTACAGGTCCTTGAAAATCCTTGAATTCGGAAAATGCATTTTCAAGGCCCTTGAAAGTCCAGGAATTTCTTCACATCCTTGTAAATCCTTGAATTTCCTGAGCCCTCCCAATCGACATTGCGGCTTCCTTTAAGTGGTAGATCGGCATACTTGCCAAGCATGAAGGAAGGAATAAGCTGCTTACTTTCCTCCATGCTTCCAAGTCTCCCGGATTTCTACCAGTTTTTACGTTTGCACGGTTGTCTGGAAAATCTCCTGGAAATTGAAATTTCTGTGTGTGATCTGGCCGCATTGACAAAAATGCAGCCCAATCCAATCCAAACTTTTTACGACACAATCGCATTTTATTGTGAACGAATTTAGGAGGCGTTCATCTAAATGTACAGCGGAATCTCAATGATGCAAAACCGCCAGATATACGAATTCGTGAAATTCCCCAGCCAAGCTCGGCTCTGTCCATTGGGCCAAAATTTGGATGTTTGGAGCTCTTTTCCTTATCACAACGTGTCGTATGAACTTTAAGACCGACACTGTGGAAGGAAGACCGAGAACAGCAAGCTGGAAGGTTTGGAAGGACACGCGCGGCCAACTCACCCACTGTTAGAACTGCGGTTATCGTTTGCCACAACTGCTGTGAACGAAACCGTGGTCGCTCTTGACCAGTGTTGTGAAGTTGCCTCTCCAGAAGGGGAATGAATCCGGAATCATTCCGCATTTTCGTAACCCTGGAATGCAATGGCGACAAAGCTTGGAGGAATAGAATGTCATTAGGCACATTTATCCCAGAATGGAATTGAAATTGAATTACATATTTTTCAAAAAATAGAGCTCTGTTTCGTCAACATGCTGTTTTCAAGCTTCAAACATAAGTAAGTCAGACCCTCAAATTGAGCAATAGAGCAGTAATTTAAGAAGGCTTGGCTGATTATAAGCATGGCACATTTATAAGCAACATGCTTACTATAATTGTATTATATAGACTTGTTGCTCTGGATTTTTTCTATTCTTCACGTAACCACAGCTCTATGCCATGGTATCTATTTTGTGGAACTACTTTGGCAGCGTACCCCCCCACCATATGCCTCTTCTTCCCCCCCCCCCTCCCCCCGATGGCACCTTAACCGCCTGCTGTCGCCCTATTCTTCACTTTGTTGGTGTTTCTGCCGCCGTCGGCGACAAGGACGCATTAGAAAAAGTGCTTACCTAAGTTGTGATGCGTATTTACGCCGGTGCGATGCTTGTGTTTACTGCAAGCTTTTGATACCAGCTCGCGTGCAGGCTCGCCACATATTGCCTCCCCCCCCCCCCCCCCCTTTTTTTTTTCAATACGGTACCCACTGCCTACAGACACATGGGTACTTTTGCCTGAAACTCTATTGCAAAAGTCTGTAGGTCAGCGCAGCACACAATCGTACACGATGAACTGACTGTGTGTGCTATGAACTGTTGTACAAGATTAACCGTACAAAGACAGAATAAACTTTTGAAAGCATTGGTTCTGATAGCCAGCCAAAACAGGCGATCCCACGTAACCAAAGGCGGTGCCTCCCCGAATCCTTACACGACCAATCGCTGAGTCGTCATTTTAGCATTAACGCATTGAAGCTTAAAGTATATTAAAGCATCATTCATTTAAACATGCACTCTTAAAAAAAAGGCCTGCTTATTCACTGACTAAATAGTAACCGTTTACTTGTCACAAAAAGCACTGGCCCCCTAGTAAGTGAAGGTAGTAAAATGCTGATTAGTGAAACTTGTTAGTTTACAAACTAGTGTGTGAATAATGCTGACTCGATTAATTAATACATTACTGAATTTATAGTTAATGGGCATTTATATATGCATGTACAATGGCACATCAACATAATTCAATTACAGAAGTATATATAGGATAATGAGTGAACTGCGATTGTCCACGCAGATTAATTATTGGTCACTAATCACTTGATTTTTATACGTGAGGTTTAAAATCCCAAAACCACCATATGATTATGAGAGACACTGTAGTGGAGCGCTCCGCAAATTTCGACCACTTGGGGTTCTTTAACATGCACCCAAATCTGAGCACACGGGCCTACAGCATTTTCGCCTCCACGGACAATGCAGCTGCCGCAGCCAGGATTCGATCCCGCGACCTGCAGGTCAGCAGCCGAGTACCTTAGCCACTAGACCACAGCAACGGGGCCTACACTAATTACTTCATGCAATTATGATGGCAAGTATGCATCACAACAAGCTACATAGAGGCACGAATAAATTACAGTCGAGGACATACACTCACATACAATGTCAAGACTTATGCCCCTGTCACATGGCCACCACCAAACTCCGTTGGACACCGTCAACATAAATCTCCCCTAGGGGGTTCGACAGAGAAGGAGTTGTGGCAGTGTCACACGGCAATGACAAGGTTGTAACAGTTGCCGCGAGAGGGCTCAGCTGGCGCTGTTTGATTTTCGGAAAAGTATTCTAATTTGATCCCTATTGATTTTTTTGTAAATCCTCGTTATGCAGTTTTTACAAAAAAGCACTATAAAGTAGGTATGCGACTAACAAACCATTAAAAATAGTTTCAAATAAAAACGCATTTGCTAAATGTAGCAATGCTGCTAGTGACGCTGGCCACATTGTGCTTTTAGTTGTTTTGTTGCCTGTGTACATGCCCGGTACGAAAGTTCTTATGCTTCCTTGCCTTGTGAGTGCACATTTTGCGTTCGTCAGCCATGAGTGACACAGCGGACGACGTGAGAAAGTGGTGGGATATTGCGCTAGTAATGACGTTGATCGGCTGGCGCCGGCTGGCCCGAGTCGCGAGGCACAGTGTGTAGGGCATCATTGTTGACAGTAAGTGAACTCTGGCGGGCGTAAATATTGTAAACAAACACGCGTTGTGAATGAGTACTACAACGAAAGAACGTTTAATGTTGCTAAAATGTATTATTCTTTCACTGCGGCCACTTAGTGCTCGAAATTTTTCTCTGACCTCTAGACTGCTGTGGACGAGAGTACCTCGTTTCGCTGCGAAGGGAGATCGTTGAACGTCCATTGCGAAACGCTCCGTTCACCTTCGTTTGCGTAAGGGTGGCCGTGTGACACCAACCGCATCTTCGTTGTCGTAAAGACGAGGGAGTTAAACGGTCTTCACGGGTGCCCGTGTGACAGGGGTATTAGCTGGTATCGTATGTTATAGCAGCAGTTTGAAGGCTACTTTGGAATAGCACACTATTTATTGGTTAGCAGCCATAATATTTAGAAAAATAATGTACGTTTTGTGCACATCATCATGTGCCCTTCTATAGGTGTGTGTCATTGCTTAGCACGAAACTTTTATTCTAAAAAAACTGACGAAATTAGGTTTCTCTTAATTTTTTCTTAGAATGTCACTATTATTTCAAGATATACGGCAATATCCCGGCTGCGGTGGCTGCATTTCCGATGGAGGTGGAAATGTTGTAGGCCTGTGTGCTCAGATTTGGGTGCACGTTAAAGAACCCCAGGTGGTCGAAATTTCTGGAGCCCTCCACTATGGCGTCTCTCATAATCATGTGGTGGTTTTGGGACGTTAAACCTCATATATCAATCAATCAAGATATATGATGTTTATGAGAGATCTGGCAGCGTATGTGGCTTAGTAGTTACCTAGGTAAAAAGACCTAGAAACATTCCCAGTTAGTAACTGCAAAAGTTTCAAGCTTTTATAGCTGCTGGCTATAGTAAAGAGATGCTGCAAAGGTAGTAAAATATGCTCGAAACAAGTAAATGCATGCGTTGCCAACTTGTTACTAACTTTTGTTTAAGATTGTGCTGACCCTGCAAATGCTATAATTAGCAAGAGAACTGTCCCTATGGGAACTAGTAGTGCAGTTGTACTGCACGAGATAAGTCACCCAGCTACTATCCCGCAACCATTGAAACATGTTTAGCATAGTTTTGCAGTTATTATGCATCTGATGACATCAGCTTTATGTTGTTCCAATAGTTCTTAGCTCAATATAGCACTCATGATATGCCTCTCTGACGAAGAATAATAGGAATGGATGATGCAGAAGACTGAGGCGCAAAAAACATAACGTGAAGCAGGAAGAGAAGGAGAGAAAACAGAACAGCGCCAACTACCAACTGTTTAATGACCGTCTAGGAAATGCACTGGAAAGAAGACAAAACCGTGCATGCGTGCACAGCCAACAAACATCGCACAGCGTCATGAGCAAGGCACTAAGTTATCCAAAAAATGCATTTCTGTTGCGTACAACACAATAGATGTATCACTGATACAATTGGGCCCTTTGTTTTTGATAAAGTAGGCTTCCAAGAGCTCTCTGCCTGTTTGTTTTTTGCTCCTACCAAGAATCACCGTTTTTTCAAACAATGGCACACATCCGCAGGCTTTACAGTGCGCTGGAAGATGCACATGCTCACTTTTGCCTAAACTATTGGCATGCTCCCTCAGTCTGTTATTAATGCAACGCCTCGTTTGACCGATATAGAACTTGCCACAGCCTAGGGGAGTTCCATATACCACGCCTTGTGGGCAGCGCCTAAAAAGTCTTGTGTGCTGCTTCTGGCAGCCCCT